GAGACTCCCTCTCCCAAAAGAGCAAAAAGAAAAAGGGGGGGGCCGGGCGCGGTGGCTCAAGCCTGTAATCCCAGCACTTTGGGAGGCCGAGGCGGGTGGATCACGAGGTCAAGAGATCGAGACCATCCTGGTCAACGTGGTGAAACCCCGTCTCTACTAAAAATACAAAAAATTAGCTGGGCATGGTGGCACGTGCCTGTAATCCCAGCTACTCAGGAGGCTGAGGCAGGAGAATTGCCTGAACCCAGGAGGCGGAGGTTGCGGTGAGCCGAGATCGCACCATTGCACTCCAGCCTGGGTAACAAGAGCGAAACTCCGTCTCAAAAAAAAAAAAAAGGGCGGGGGTGCGGGGGAGTGGGGAGTATGAAGCATAATGATTAATGGTTGAGCCTGTCTTCTAGAGTCAAACTGAAATTTTGTATTTTGTCACTTGTTATCTGTGTAATACTGGGCATGTTACCTAACCTCTCTGATTGTTGGTTTTCCTGATAATTGTATTCTCTTTATAGGGGTATGTGAGATAATGATATATAAATCACCCATCACAGTGTCTGGCATATAAAAAAAGTCCAATAAATGTTAGCAATAACAGCTGTAGTCATTGTTGTTCCTGGCCCACAGAAATTAAATATAGTCTATTTTGGGCTTTCCAGATCTAAAAACCCTTCAAATGCATGTGCACACACACAAATATATACACAGCTAGTTTTCTGCCATTTATTCTTAGGAATGGACACAGTAAAAACATCTTTATTTTTTAAGTCTTATATGCCATCTGTCTAGAATTTTACTAAATGAAGCATCAATGTTACCGTCTCTGAAATCCATATGTTCTTATTGAAAGCTTAAAATTTGTCTTCTGTCTAGTCATTTATCATCTTTTCAGAGGTCTACACTTTCTCAAAGTCTAATAATTCTACCAAATCAAGTAGGTTTGGCAGAGGTTGCAGTGAGTCAGGATCATGCCTCTGCACTCCAGCCTGGGCAACAGAGCGAGACGCCAACTCAAAAAAAAAAAAGAAAAGAAAGTATTAATTTTATATTTGATATTTCTTTGTATGAGCCTAGTTAAAAATAAGACATGCGCATGGGAGGCTGAAAATAAATTTGACAATTGCCTGGATATTTTACTTAACCATGATTCTCAGGTCTTTGTTAGACAAAGAGTAAAATTGTCTATACCAGGGAAGAGTAATAACATTTTTACTGTATAAATGTAGAAGTAACTACTAATACATACTAAATAACAGAGCTACTATATGACAAATACTGTAAATATCTATTACACATTCATATTATATAATATGTTTAATCCTTTTAGCAACTCCATTTCACAGGTGAGAAAATTGAGCATCAGTATTTAAATATCATGGTCATCACACTCCTACTAAGTGGCAGAATCTATAGAATTTGAATCCAGTTTTGTCTGACACCAAAACCATGTCCTTTCCACCTAATATTTGCTACCTACCCTACTATTTGGCAGTTAGCATTATACTGACATGTATATTAAAATGGAACTAATAAAGAGAAGCTAATAATGTGTTCTTTTATTGCTATAGAAGATACTTCTAGAGTCAGAGAATTGATGAGGATCCATGAATAAACTTGGCAAATTTTCTTCAATAAGAAAACATTAGCATTTTAGAAATATTATAAAATCATGAAATCTTAGGGTTGGAAGAAACCTTCTTGCTTATGAGGTTTGTTTTCTGGACACATAGCAATTATATATGTGGGATTATATTATAAAGAATTAATAGGCTGGATTACATGTCTGTAATCCCAGCACTTTGGGAAGCCAGGGCGGGCAGATCACCTGAGGTCACGAGTTCAAGACCAGCCTGGCCAACATGGTGAAACCCCATCTGTACTGAAAATATTTTGAAAATTAGTTGGGTGTGGTAGTAGGCATCTGTAATCCCAGCTACTTGGGAGAGTAAGGCAGGAGAATCACTTGAGGGAGGCAGAGGTTGCAGTGAGCTGGGATTGCGCCACTGCACTCCAGCCTGGGTGACAGAGCAAGATTCCATCTAAAAAAAAAAAAGTATTAATTTTATTATTGCTGTATCTGTAATATTTTGTTTGAAATTTAAGATAAATTGTTGCTTTTGTTTATTTACCTTATTTACTTTTTAATAACACTTTGTAAAGTTTCTTTTAAATTCTATAGTCTAATGGTTATACAAATATGATATATGTGAATTAGGATAAAGAAATAGAGATTTCAGAATTCTTCCACATGTAGTGATACCCTGGTGCTCTAATTTATAATAAAGGGATTGTCATGGCTTATATTGAAATACAGGAGAATTTCACTTGCAAAATGTGTGTATAAATAGGCTGATTTCATATTAAATAATTCTGCTTTATTATAAGAATTCATGCTGATCATTGTTCAATAATGAATTCACATTCTACGCTGGTCTTGTGATTTTGCTAGTGTTGTAGTATAAAGTATAGTTATTATCCACTTCAAATTTAAATGTTATTGATAAGGTAAAATTAAACAGATTTCATATGACTGTGTGGACAGATATATCTGTGTAATATGAAAGAGTGAATTTCAGCCGGGTGCGGTGGCTCACGCCTGTAATCCCAGCACTTTGGGAGGCCGAGGCGGGTGGATCACGAGGTCAAGAGATCGAGACCATCCTGGTCAACACGGTGAAACCCCGTCTCTACTAAAAATACAAAAAAAATTAGCTGGGCATCGTGGCGTGTGCCTGTAATCCCAGCTACTCAGGAGGCTGAGGCAGGAGAATTGCCTGAACCCAGGAGGCGGAGGTTGCGGTGAGCCGAGATCGTGCCATTGCACTCCAGCCTGGGTAACAAGAGCGAAACTCCATCTCAAAAAAAAAAAAAAAAGAGTGAATTTCAAATAGTGGTTAATTTCTTAGACTAATACTGAGTATTATTACCCTAAAGACAAAAAAGTTTAAACCCAGAAAAGAAATCATAGACATTGCCTCTCTCTCTCTCTCTCTCTCTCTCTCTCTCTCTCTCCTTCTCTTTCTGTGTGTGTGTGTCTGTCTGTCTATCTGCAAAATCATTCAAGTTTCTTCTGCTTAGAACAGTAAGTTCCACGGGGGCAGGGAATTTGTCACGTTCCCCACTGTATTTCTACCACCTAGTGAAGGATGCCATAGATGGTAGATGTTCAGTAAATATTTGGGGGCAGACTATCTTGGCTTTGCAGATTAGTGTCGTACAAAAATTGAGGGGAATATTTTTGCTTTTGAGTAGATTATACTGCTAATCATTTCAGAGTTTTGCTTAAATATTTGTGAGAGTTTGTTTTTTCCCTCTCTGAACTTCTAGATGCCATTAGCAAAATGTTTTATACAAAAGTTAATAATGATGTTTATATTTGTGGTAAGTATACCCCAGCGTGTATTTATGTTCGTGTCTTTTTGTCTAGTAATAAAAAAGTGCAGCTGTTACTGTATTTTGTCTCTCACCAATTGCTAAGGGTTAGGTAAGTGTTACTTTGATTTGTAGTCCCAGATAATAGGTTTAAATCTTTGTGCTTATATATAATTGTTTATGAATATATTGCTGATAAGGGAAATTATTGTGGTTATCAAGTATCAGAAAATTTCATATTTTTGCCTGTATCTTTCTGGTAACAAGGCCATTACTTTCTATTAAATCAGGTATTTTCTGTGATGTGAATTAATCCTTTAAGCCACTAACCCAACATTTCTCAGAAGTGTAAACTATGGACAGCTTACTTTAGATTCACTGGTAGTGCTTATTAAAATTACAGATTTTGACCAACTACCTTAGTCCCCCTAAATCAGAATATCTGGAATGTGGGTCTCTGAATTTGTGACAGGCTCTGCAGGTGATTTATCTGCACTCAGAAGTTTGAGAATCATAGTATGAAACTTTCCTGGAAGTGTCTGCCCTGGGGAGGGTGTCCATCCTGGAAGCTCTACAGAAAGAATCCCTCACTACAAGCCCTCTGGCCATTTAAATTCCAAAGCAGTCAGTCTTAAGACACTGATTGTGTCAATTTGAATTATGACCAAATGTACATTGTTTCCAAAAGCTGTTGGACTGGAACAAAACAGGAACATCAGAATTGCTCACTAGACCAATACTGAAAGGGGACAAAACTGCATTCAGTTCCAGTTCCTGACAACCTCCCAGGAAATGTCTCAGCTGCCTTCACTGGGGATTGTCACTGCCAAAAAGACTTCATCCCATTAAAGACGAGGGAGAAGCTAGGCATTCTAGAACTGAGCTGACTGGAGATTAAAAAAAAAAAAAGTTCTGCTTTTTCCAGGTCTACAAGAACAGAGCTTTCTGTGGTACTATGAGAATTTCAGCCTAAAAATTCATTTTATGTGAAATCTTGACTATATAATCAAATCCTCTCTACAGCTATGACCTATCTTGAATATTTTACCACTTGCACAGGGCTCCAACTGCATTTGGCAGGATACCAAATGCATCTCCCCATCCCACAGAGTAGATATCATTCCATGTATTGATTCATCTTTTTCTCACTTCTCTATCATCAGCTGTAAACTGATTTTGAATTTCAGGGTTTAAATCAGGAACCCTTACTTTCTAGTTTCTCAAAAGGCAGTTTAGAAAAAAAATAATTTTACATATGTACAGTCTATGTAGATTTGTTTGCATCAGAGAAGTGGTAATACTACCTTTTATATACAAAGATTATGATACTGAGTTACATTTCCAGAAGTAATGATGAGTTTTTATTCATGCATCTATGTTGTAATCTCTGGCCTTCCTTGAATTCAGGGGCATTCTAAAATTCAGTGTTTTGGTCAGGCACAGTGGTTCACGCCTGTAATCCCAGCACTTTGGGAAGCCAAGGCGGGTAGATCACCTGAGGTCAGAAGTTCGAGACCAGTCTGACCAACATGGTGAAACCCCCTCTCTACTAAAAGTACAAAAATTAGCTGTATGTGGTGGTGGATGCCTGTAGTCCCAGCTAGTTGGGAGCCTGAGGCAGGAGAATAGGTTGAACTTGGGAGACGAAGGTTACAGTGAGCCTAGATTGCTGTGCTCTAGCCAGGGTGGACAGAGCAAGATTTTGTCTGTCTGAAAAAAAATTTTTTGATCAAAATAAAAAATAAAATAACAGGGTTTAGTTAGGGAATAGAGCATACCAGTTAATTTATTCATAGATTAAATCCATGACTTCACTGGCATTGTGCTCTAGGCAAATTAACTAGTCTCAGAAGTTGTATTTTGCCTCTGTGTTTGTCTCATTTTCTTAGTCAAGAATTAAGAGTACTGACATCATATATTAAGCTTTTTTGTATCCCCTGGGGTAACTAATTAGCATGGTGGCATATACATAGCAGGTATTTAGAAAGAAAACACTTTGATTTATTGATGTTAATTATGTTTCAATACAAGAGCAGTTCAGCTACTTTGCATGGATTTCTTTGGGAAGGATTTACTATGATTTCTATTTATATATTCTTGTATGTTGTTTTTGTGTTTGAGTTCATACTTAGCACCACCCGTCTTCTTCCTAAAGCTACCTTTTCGTTGAATGTGATTATTGCATTAATGGTATATTAATTGTTTTGAAGAATTAGTATTTCTTTCCAATTCAAGCCTATGATGCGACTCAGGCTGGTGATACAATGATGATATTAAGACAATGTTCATCTTCTTCAACAGGGAAAGTAAAACTGTTCAACTTGCTTTTGAATACCCATTATAACTGTTAGTGAGTAATTTATTTAGGAAGGAAATAGTCTCTTTATATATTGCAAATTTGGCCATATTAAACAAAATCTTAGAAAAGTCGGTATTTATCAGAATTTAATACTAGGAAATTGTTTCTGAAAAGGACTTGAACATATCCAAATCAGAGATAAATACTATCACAAATAGCTCTAATTTTTTTTACCTTCAAACAAGCCACATTCAGGTATCAGCTGCTGGTTCTGTGGTAAGCAGGTAAAGTAGTTGTTCTGTGTACCATAGGTGTTGGAGACCCCTCCCTGGTGGACATTGAAGCAGTGGAAACTCATAATGATTGCAGTCTCTTAAGGAGCTTACTTAATCTGGCTGCGGAGAGCAGAATTTATTACAGGAGTCAGACCAGACAGGAGACTGTAATGGACTAAATGTATGGGTGTCCACCCTCTCCTGGCATTCATATATTGAAACCATAATCCCCAATGTGACTATATTTGGAAACAGGGCCTGTGAGATGATATAGGTTAAATGGGGTCATAAGCATTGGGCCCTAATTGGATAGGCCTTTTTCCATTATAAGAAGAGAAAGAGACATCAGAGCTCTCTTTCTCCACAATGTGAAGACACAGTGGAGAAGTGTGTAATGCATACTGTGTATAAGTCACCATGCTAGAGAAAGTGGCTGTCTGCAAGCCAGGAAGATCCTCACTAGGAACCGAATCAGCCAGCACCTTGATCTTGGACTTCCCAGCTTCCAGAGCTGTGAGAAATAAATTTCTCTTGTTTAAGATACCCAGCTGTATGTTTTTGTGGCAGCCAGGGCAGATTGGGACTGAGACAGAGAACACTGTCATAATCTAAGCTCGAGGTGGTAAGGAGAGTGGCATCAGGAAAGACACCAATGAGATGGGCATGGTGGGAAAGGAAAGAAAGTGGTATAGGAGTTCATGGGACCTAGTGGCTGACAGCATGTGGGGCAAAGGATAACATATATTATCTGTATTTCCCAAAGTGGGGAAAAGTTTTTTAAGTGTAATTTTGTTGAGGGTTCAGCCTTCCAGGCCCCCAGGTTTGGTGATTTGCTAGAGGGATTAACAGGACTCAGCATATAGTCCTCATTGCTGCATTTATTACAGTGAAAAGATACGAAGCAAAATCAGTAAAGGGAAAAGGCACATGGGCAAAGTCTGGAGGAAACCAGGCACACACTTCCAAATCTTCTCCCAGTTAAGTTGCACAGGATGAACTTAATTACTCCAGTATCAAGTTGTGAAAGTATGGTCAAGTGTTATGCGCCAAAGAAGCTTGCCTGAGCCTCAGAGTTCAGGGTTTTTTCCAGGGGCCCATCACATAGACAACCTTTGCCTAGAATGTACCAAAATTTCAGACTCTCAGAAGGAGTTTAACATGAATCACATTGTTTGCACAATGGTTTAGGTACAGTGAACCACACTTATCAGGGAATGATGGCAGCTCTTCTGAAATTCAAGTTCCCAGATGCCAACAAAGGGCCAACCTTTCAAGCATTTCATTCTAAGCATAGCAGTCTCAGACCTGCAATGTTAACTGTTTTTTGCACAGTAATATTTTAAACTAGAAAGGGAACATTGCATATATGTCACTCTGTTTTTCTTAATGAAGTTTATGCATAATAGAAAAAAATTTTAAGCCTAATTATTGTCTTCAGTTGGCCACACGAAAGGATATTTTTGAGAAGCGTTAGGAAGAAAAAAACAACTCTGAATACAATGAAATGTTGCCATGCCTTTAAAGTCAACCATGGAACAGTATTTTAGGTTATATTCTCCTACAGATTGAGTTATTTATACACTATCTTTAGTAATAAATACCTAGAGAGGTCAAAGAGGTAAGATGTCTGTGCTGAAAGCACCATCTCTTGAAGACATAGGATCTCTGTAAACCATGCTGGTGTGCAGAATTCCTCATATGTGAGGTGCACAATCCCAAAGCTTTCCCACTTGTACTTCAGGTGCAAAGAGATTTTTAAAGCAGCATCTTATTTTCTTGATTTTCATATAGCATCTACTGCCCAGAGCACTGGGCGAGTCTCAGAAGTGAGCAGTAGAAATAATGTAGGTTCAAGAACTTCCAGAAAACGGGATGCTCTGACGGTGTTTTCCTTTCCAGTATGGCCCTTTCTTTCCTTACAATGTTACTTCAGAGGTTTCTCTTGCTAGTTAATAGAAAGATAGTTTTGGAGCACACCAAAAGTTCTGAGGTATGGTTTGAGGTAAACATAATTTGGCACATATAATTACATTATATTAAACTTTAAAAGTTTTCAAACTTTCTTTTAATGCCAACAAAATCTCCTTTAGAATCCACATATATAAAACATGAAACAGCTGAGCTGCTGAGTAGGTTGAGCTGAAGCAGGCTGAGGAGTCCTGCAGTCATCCACCCCTAAAGCTCCTCTAGAGAAAGTTAGAAGTTCTTGGAGATTGCGCTCCGCTCTCTGTTGTATTAGAGACGAGAAAATGAATGATCAGGAAATTAATCTATATCCATTAGTTCTTTCCAGTCCTTACAAACCCTTATCTAGACCTTCTTTGACTAACTCCATTTTCTCCTGTAGCTGTTCCTGTAACATTTTATATAAACATAGTGCTTATCATTTTGTTTTATACATAAATGTTTGTGATGTTTCCCCCAGAGTCCCTAACCTCAGTCTATTTTTTAAAATTAATTTTAGATCCTCAGTGCTTAATGTAATCCTAGTATATAGTAGGTGGTTAATAAATGCTGCATTAAAATGAATAAATTTAGTCAATACTTTCCTTGGAAATCATTTATTCAATTTGTAATATCATTTTGCATTTTTGATGTTATAATTTCTAATGGTTCCCTTGTTAATTTCTGAGATCATTTATTTCTTCAACTACATTGTCAGCTCTTTTAAAATCTTTAATGACTACTTACCAACATGAAACCCAGAATAATAGAAGCACTTTGGTAAACCAAAGATAATTCCATGGAAAATGTCATGATAACTATAGCTTTACTTCCTTCCTAGTACCTCTCAAAATATTCCTGACATGGGCAAGTAAGAGAGTGCTCTGCGCTCTTTTTTGAGGCCAGTATGTAAAGAAGCAGTGTGTAACTGAAATAAAATGAATTTGTATCCAGGATTTACCACGTATTACCTGTTGACCATGGTCATGATATTGAACTTTTCTAATTCTTAATTCTGTCATCTGTAAAGCAGAGAAAGTAATATCTGCCTTGTGATAAGTAAATGAAATAACATGTTATGTGTTTTAAATGTATGTTTGTATTAAACTTAATGTATGTTACAATAAATATTTAAGTAATATTAATAGTATCACTTACCAATAAATATTTAAATGATAGCTGTTGTCATATACATGCAGGTGTGATGAACCTGCTAGTGGTATTTAAATTTTAACATGAGTCAAGATCACCTTGGGAGCCTGTTCAATTGCACTTTTAGGATTAGTAAGTCTGAGTTAGGACCTGCAATTCTTCATTTCTGAAAAACTCCTAGGTGCTGCTGATGCTTTAGTCTACAGACCATACTTGGAGTAGCAGGCATTGGAGTATACAAGATTCCCAGTTTACGTTTTTTTTCTTTTAATATATGTTGAATGATTGGTTGGACTGTCTTTGGCAGTTATTTTATATCTTCTCAGATATTGTGACTGTTTTTAAGGTAGTTAATAATAATATTTTGGACTCATCCAGTGTTTTGTTTTGAAAACTTTTTTTTTGTTAGAATACCAGGGACACAATATATATATATATATATATATATATATATATATATATTTTAATATTTTGTGGTGCTGGATATCTAAATATTAGGGGTGAACAATTAAGGTAAACATGATGATCTTGTCCACTTTTGTAGCTAAATAGATTTATTGAATTTGAAAGGATGCCAAGAATGGATTTATGGCATATTAAGGCAGATAAAACCAGTAATGGTGGCTCACACATATAAACCCAGCTCTTTGGAAGGCTGAGGTGGGAAGATCGCTTGAGCCCAGGAGTTCAAGGCTGCAGTGAATTATGATTGTGCTGCCACATTCCAGTGACAGATTGAGATTCCATGTCTTTAAAAAAAAAATAGGACAGATCAGATCTTTGGCCATTTGCTTCTGCTGTATAATTATCTACAGGCCAATAATTATAAGTATAAACCTAAATCCCCAATGTTAGATGAACATTATAACTTATTAGAACATTATATATTATATGTATAATTAGCATTATAACTTACTATTTAGAAAGATTGTAAATCTTTCTTTTCTTTTTTTTTTTTTAAGATGGGGTTTCACCATGTTGGTCAGGCTGGTCTTGAAGATTGTAAATCTTTCTAAGCTGAAGTTGAAAGAACACTGGGAGTCAGGAGATATGAATTCTGTGTTTGCCTACAACAAGGGTTAGCAGGGTGACCTTGGAAAAGTGAGAGTTGATTCACCTTTTCATGCATTCATAATACTTTATAAAAATAACTTTTCAACAAAGTTCTCAGTCTTCTATGTAAGAAAACATCTTACCTATAACAATTTTCTAACCTTTAGCATTCTGAGTTTAAATGTAAAACTATTAAATGCTCTGAAAAATTAATGTTGCCTATACTATTTTTATTTTAATTGTATTAATTTTGTTAAGATTTTAATAGCAAATTTTGGAGCAATTTGCTGGCCAGTTGAATATCTAAGATATTTCATTAAATTTGAATACATTTTTATAAAAATATAAAGTAAAACAATTATAAAAAATTTTAAATTATAATTTCAGGTTTTTTTCCAATAAGTGGAAAATTATCTATTAAAGTAAAAGACAAAACACAAGAAGTTTATGAATTCTTTAATATTATACTCTTCAGCCACTATGTGTAACTCTTTCAAATACCATGTTAATTTGTGAGTACCTCCACAACCACAAATTAAAACATGAAGTAAGAAAATGGATATTTGGTGCTGTTGGGAAATGATACTTGGTTAAGGAGTGCTTTACTGCAATGATGATATTTGAGATGAAGGATTTGACAAGTTAGTTAATTAGTCTTTCCTCTTACCTAAGTGATTTCATCACTCAAATCCTCCAGGAGTTCCAAAGCAGCATCTATCTCTGTCTTCAGCAGCAGCACAAACAAACCTTGAGAGCATTCTGACACATGATGCCCTTTTATTTTGAGAACGTAGGGCAAGAGTTGTGCAGAAGCATTTTCTTGGGGCTTGAAGATGTTATTCGTGAGAGTAGATATTCATGGTTACAGATCACAGTGTCAGTCTGAGGGCCAGATCCCAGTGGCAGAAGACGTTCATTTGTTCTTCAGTAAATTTAATTTGGGTTATTTGTGATAGCCAGGGTCCTCTGGATCACAGGGTTTGTGGCAGTGTCCCCTCTTTCTTAGATATAAGGGTGGTACTGGTTGTTTACCATAGTCTTGGGAGCAGAACTGGGTGTGCTGAGATATGAAAGTTATGAATGTAATCTCAGCCAGATTATTGTAATTAAATATTATTTGGGTACCAGATAAAATGCTGGAAGTTAATAATGGGTAGGCTGCTATCACAAGCCTCCTTAGCTAATCTATATGTTTAAATGGCAGCCGGATGATTAAAGTATGTGAACAAACAGCATTGCAAGCTAAAATTATGCTTTTCATAAGCAAATAACCTCCACTGTGCTGCTTAGCATCTTGGAGTTGTTCTCTTTTTGGTCGTGGCTACTGTTAATGATGTTCATATATAGTAATCATCATTGTTTAACGTTTAAGACTTCTGAGAAATGAAGTAAGCATTGAATTTTTATCTTATTTCTAGTGTAGAAAGTAGGAAAGGAAGTAAATTTTCAGTTTAATGTTGATTCAAAGTCAACAAATTATGTGATGGCTATTTCACATAATTTTCTGGTATTTGCTTTCTATAGCATTGTTTTCAAACCCAATTTTTAAGTTTTTCAGATGGAGTTAAGGTACTGGACAACTGGACATCTTTTTCCTGACAGCATTGTCATAAGCTGTGTGACAACTTTTATATTTAAAACTAATGTAATCAGGCAATATTGTAATGTACAATAGGAACTCTTATATAATGTGTAAAAATAGTAAAATTATATTTATTTCAGAGGATATTGACATTTATTTTGTACTTGACTTTATATAAAATTAGTTCTTACTGTATCCACATTAGTAAGATTTCCAGTAAGTGCTTTGAGATCAGTTAATGCTTAAAAGAGTGTTTAGAGATCAGTCCTTTAGAGATTTTTTTCAAGTATTTATGTAAAACCTGCATAGTATATTTTATAAATAGTCTGCTAATATAAATAAGATTATCATAGCTAAGTGGTAATAATGTCATAAACTAGTAATAAGTTTTATAATTACTTTAATATGAATCTGTGGTTAAAAGTATTTATGAGGCAGCATATTTTGTCAAACAGTATAATATTTATCTAGGATATGCATATTACCTTCTGTTTTCCCTGTCTAGTTTTCAAGTATATCTTTTTGAACTTTAGTCCCTCTGTGATTGATTTGTACCCTACCTTAAATTCAAGGGGACTGTCTCTTAACTTTTTTTCCTTTTTTTTTTTTTTTTTTGTTTTGGTTATCTGTTTTGCGCGCGTGTGTGTGTGTATGTGTGGCTGAGATAGGGTCTTACTCTGTTGCCCAGGATGGAGTGCAGTGGAGCAATCATAGCTCACTGTAACGTTGAACTCCTGTGCTAAAGCAATCTTCTTGTTTTAGTCTCCTGAGTAGCTAGGACTATAGGTACACACTACTATGCCTGGCTAATTTTTTAATTTTTTTTTTTTAAGAGATGGGGTCTCACTATGTTGCCCAGGCTAATCTTGAACTCCTGGCCTCAACTGATCCTCTGGCTTGGCTTCCCAGAGTGCTGGGATTATTTAAAAACCAAGGCACCACATCTAGCCTTGGTTTTTAAATTCTTTTCAGGAAGTCTTTTTATTAAAAACGAAACTATATTCCAACCTCAAATGCATTCATACATGGGGAAAATGTAACTTTTCAAATGTGTTGAATTTATAAATGAATATATTTATATCTTAAGTGGGCCTTAAATTAGAGACCAATACAACTCACAAACCATTGCTACCTATGAAACCTCTCTTTTTCAGCTTTTGTTTGTTCTCAGTTGCATTCTGAATAACTTCCATCTTCCATCATTATCATTAATATAATACTGGCGAGAGTAGAATGGAAATGATATTACCCTGAGTGTTTTTAACTTTCCAAAAGATACTCGGAATCTTCTGCCTGCATTTCAATAGGGCCTTGGCTTCGATTGCTTATTTTACTATAAAGTATATTTCACATGTTGGCCACAATATCCTTAAATATACTTTGCTATTTAACCTATGTAAAATCATACCCTAGAAACACCTGCATCCAAGAATAACTGCTGTAGACCAATGTGTCTCAGGCTTTAATGCAAGTACCAATCACTGTTAAAATGTACGTTCTGATTAAGCAGGGTTGACATAGTCTGAGATCCTGCATTTCCAACAAGCTTCCTTGTGATGCCACGCCTCCTGGTCTAGGTACCATACCTTAGGGAGAAAGTATGGGTTACATCTGTATGTCTAGTGCTTCATAATGCATTTGCCAAGTGTTACAGGTCTAACTTTTTCTTAGGCAGTGGTTCTCAAACTTTAGCATGCATGAGAATCATTTGGGAGAATGTTTGCTCTAAATTTACATGCTTGGGCTCCACTCCTCAGAGTCTATTTTGGTGGGGCTTTGGGACCCAAGATTTTGCACTTTTGAAAACTCCTCAGATTTTGATGCATATGGACTAACACCACAATTTGAGAAACTGATGCTTTAAAGTTTGGAATTGCTATAGAAATTCATGATCCCTTCTGGAATGACAGCTTGTTAAAGCCAAGCAAGGATACAGTGAAAAGCCCATCTGAAAGGAGATTGCTTTGAATGCCAGTGTAGTATTTGGTTAATGGGGAAGCAGTAGTAAAATTTTGCATGCTTTTCTTTTCTATCCCATTGCCTCAGGCAATATAATTTACTAGGTGTATAATTTATTGTAATATATCAGTGGTGAAGACCATAGTTCATTCACTCCCTAATTAACCCTAGAGGAGTCTTAATTGGATAGTTGGTTAGAAATAGTAGATGAGTAGGTTATATTAAATGTTGTTGAGTATATGATCAGTATTGATTCCTCTCTTGGATTCTGACCAGGATATTTACTCTCTCTCTGGGAAACATCTATATCTTTAATATTACTTGCTATTATATTTATCAACTGTCACAAGAATAGCCTGTTCTTATAAAATATAGAGTTGGTTCTCATGTGTTTTGTTAAAAGGAATTCAGGTAACTAGTGAGTTGTTTGTCATTTTCATTTAAGACAAGTTAAATTCTGAAAGTATGTCACTCAAAGTGAATTTTAAAAAATTATGTCTTTTAATAACTTTAAGATTGATTCTTCATCTATTCATGTCTCTGTTTTAAGGATGTGGGTGGTATTTACATAATTCCTAATTGATTCTATGCAAATTATTTTAAACAAAAAGGTTATGTAGAGGTTATAGTTATTAGGTAATCTTGTCAGAAACAGTGTCTTTTAGAATACTTGGTTCAGCAAACTGTTTAATGTCAGCCAAAGTGATTTAAAAGCTTTATTTAGGATTAATCCATCATCTGCTTAAATTTATTATCTCATTTATTCACTAATTTGCATATGACTTTGCAATTCAAAAATTTTAAGCAAACAGTGGTATACCAAAAAATGGATTACAGGATAAATTGAATGAAAGCAAACTGCAGTGCCGTCAAGGCCCACCCTGGACACAAGCGTGGGATTAGTGAGCTGTGATTGCATCACTCCTTTTCTGCTTCTCGGTCTTTAAGAGCAAGCTTCTTTATGCTGTCCCTGGATGGTTTTGTTCCACTGCTACGCTGTGAGGTCTCTCTTGCCCTTGGGGATTTAAAGTTTTGTGTCAGGTATAGATTTGAAGATCATCATGACCAAACGTAGCTAGTGCTACGCGACAAGGATATCTGTCACACAAAATGCTTTATGGTCACAGAGAGATTAGTTCTGTCTGAAGGGAAAGGGGAGAAGATGACAAACATGCCATATGGGCAATTAACATATAATCCTTCCATGGGTGAGGATACTGGACCAAATGACCTTTTTTGGAGTGCCTTTCTGTTGTGAATTTTCTAGTTTATTAATAACCTAAGAACTGTGCCTCATAGTCCGTACTATTCATACATCTCAAAACCAAGGTAGTTAGTATTGGGGACCTCAACAATTTGCACTGCATGTTTCTTTGACCTGATTTTTTACTCTTACCCTTCTTTATCTGTCCAGTTGCCTTTGTGTACTAACAAAGCTTTAACCTTCTGTCCTCTCAAATTTTTTTTAAATTTTGCTTTACTTAACTACAAATTTATCAAAATAGTCATTTACACTTGATGCCAGCCCAGTCTGAAACAGCTGCAATCTAGCTTCTGCCACCAGCACTTGACTGTGAGTGCTCATTTGAAGATTATCAGTGATACACTAATTAAAACTCCAGTGACTTCTCTGGCTTTGTGTTCCTTCTTCTCTGCCATAATTGAATCATTGACCACTTTTTGCTTGAAATTCTCAGTTAATACTGCTTTCTGTTGAGTGCTTCTCACGCCACCTCAATGGTACTTGTTAAATGTCTTCCTTTTCTACTTTCCTTTAATTTAGTTGCACAGCCCCCACCTGAAATATCACCCTCTATACTCATCTCTGCCTATTAACAGATCCTACCTGTGCTACTTAAGGCCTGGTTCATATGCCATCTTACCTTTAAATCTTTGAGCTAAAATGTTTTCTCAGTTCTGTAGTTTTTCATCTAATTTTTACTTGGAGCACTTTTAAGATGAGTTTTTCCCTGATAGTATGATTGTGTCCACATTTCTTACCTACTGTAGCAGATGTTAAGAAAAGGAGGAGAGAGATCATCACTATAGCTTCCCCAATGCTGTGCATTATCAGAAATCTTTAAATGTGTTTCTCAATATACTGTGGGAGGCAGAATAATGACACCCCAAAAATGCCCATGTCTTATTCTTTGAAAACGCTGAATATGTTAGGTTACATGGCAAAATCGAATTAAGATGGAATTAAGGCTGTTAATCAGTTGACCTTAAAATGTGGAGATTAATCCGGATTATGGTAGTGGGCCTGTTGTAATCATAAGCATCACAAAATAAGAGAGGGAGGCAGAAGAGAGTAAAGAATGATACCTTGTGAGATCTTAGTTAGCCCTTGCTTTAAAGATGGAAGAAAAGAACCATGGGCAAGGAATGTGGGAAGCCCTTAAAAGCTAGGAAAGGTGGCCGGGCGCGGTGGCTCAAGCCTGTAATCCCAGCACTTTGGGAGGCCGAGGCGGGTGGATCACGAGGTCAAGAGATCGAGACCATCCTGGTCAGCATGGTGAAACCCCGTCTCTACTAAAAATACAAAAAATTAGCTGGGCATGGTGGTGCGTGCCTGTAATCCCAGCTACTCAGGAGGCTGAGGCAGGAGAATTGCCTGAACCCAGGAGGCGGAGGTTGCGGTGAGCCGAGATCGCGCCATTGCACTCCAGCCTGGGGGAAAAAAAAGAAAAACCCCCTCTAAAAAAAAAAAAAAAAAAAAAAAAGCTAGGAAAGGCAAAGAAAAGGCAAGAAAGTAGATTTCCCCCCAGAGCCTCCAGAAGGAATGCAGCTGACACCTTGATTTTGGTCTAAAGAGACCCATGTCAGACTTATGACTTACTGAATTGTTAAATATAAATATTCTAAAAATACAGAGACTGTGGGATAAGTAAACTAGGAAAATAAATAAACTCATTATTCCAAGACTTGCTTAATTCCCTTTAGAGGTAATTTGCTCATTATTACACTGTTTTTTGGTTGTTTTTCAAAGGAATTCTATATAATATAGTTATCTCAATGAAGAAGGAGCCCTGATAAGATATATTGATTTATTTTTCTTTCTTTCTTTCTGTCTTTTTTTTTTGATTCTTAAATCTCTCTTTTTAATTTTTTTATTTTAAGTTCCAGGGTACATGTGTAGGACGTGAAGATTTGTTACCATAGGTAAATGGAGAAAATTTTTGAAAACTTTTTAAATCTATAGATTCCCACTTCATTTCTTTGTTTTTCTTGAAGTTTATTTGTTGACTAAATGGGTCATTTTTCCCATAGAACTTTCACAGTGTGGATTTGTTGGCTGCCTCTTTGTGCAGTTGTTTAACATGTTTCTCTCTCTGTGTAGTCTTACAATCTCTGGTAAGATCTGGAGGTTTGAGCAGACCAGTTTGAAATTCTCTTTCATAGGGAGAGGTGTGTACTTCCATCGGGAGGCATTTATTAAGAATACTTGCTTGTCTTTTTCTGTGATGTCAGTGGCTACTGATGATCATCCATGGTTGGTACACCTATCGTTTCATTAATGATTTGTAGAATGGTGATAGTCTATGTGGTGCAACAGTCTTGTTCTGTTGCCCAGACTGGAGTGCAGTGGCATGATATGGGCTCACTGCAGCCTCTACCTCTCGGTTCCAGAGCTGGCTGTGAGCCAAGATCTCACCACTGCACACCAGCCTGAGCAACAGAACGAAACTCCATCTCAAAAAAATTCTTAGCTATTATGAATAGTGCTGCAATAAACATTGGAGTGCAGATACCTCTTTGATATTCTGATGTCCTTTCTTTTGGGTATATACTCAATAGTGGAATTGCTGGATCGTATAGTAGCTTAATTTTTAGTTTTTAGAGGAGCCTCCAAACTGTTTTCCATAGTCGTTGTACTAATTTATATTCCCACCAACAGTGTAGGAAGGTTCCCTTTTTTCCGCATCTGTTATTGCCTGTCTTAGATGAAGGCCATTTTAACTGGGGTGAAAAGATATCTCATTGTAGTTTTGATTTGCATTTCTCTGATGATATTAATTAACTTTATATATATCTGTTTGCCATTTGTATATTATCTTTTGAGAACTGTCTTTTCAGATATTTTCCCGGTTTTTAGTAAGATTGTTGGACTTTTCTCCTGTAGAGTTGATTAAGCACCGTATAGATTCTGGTTATTAATCCCTTGTCAGATGGGTAGTTGCAAATATTTTCTCCCATTCTGTGGGTTGTCTCTTGACTTCGTAGATTGTTTCCTTTGCTGTACAGATTTTTGCCTTGAAGCGATCCCATTTGTCCATGTTTACTTTGGTTGCCTGTTCTTGTATGGTATTATTCAAGAAATTTTTGCCCAGGCTAATGTCCTTAAAAGTTTCCCCAATATTCTCTTGTAGTAGTTTCATAATTTGAGACCTTAGATGTAAGTCTTTAATCCATTTTGATCTGATATTTGTATATGTTGAGAGGTAGGGCCATTCTTATGCATATGGATATTCAGTTTTCCTAACATTTATTGAAGAGACTGTCCTTTCCCCAATGTATTTTCTGAGCAACTCTGTCAAAAATGAGTTCATTGTAGATATGTGATTTTATTTCTGGGTTCTTTGTTTTGTTCCACTGGTCTGTGTCTGTTTTTATGCTAGTACCTTGCCATTTCGGTTACTATAGCTCTGTCATATAATTTGAAGTCAGTAATGTAATTCCTCCAGTTTTATTATTTTTGCTTAGGATAACTTTGTCTATTCTGAGTTTCTGTGCTCTCATATAAATTTCAGGACTGTTTTTTCTATTTCTGTGAAGAATGTCATTGGTATTTTGATAGGGACTGCATTGAATCCGTAGATTGCTTTGTGTAGTATGGACATTTTAACAAGATGATTCTTTCAATATATGAACATGAAATATCTATCCATTTGTGTGTGTGTGTATGCTCTGTAATTTCTTTCAAAAGTGTTTCATAGTTTTCATTGTAGAGATCATTTACTTCTTTGATTAATTCCTAGGTATTTAATTTTATTTGCAGCTATTGTAAATAGGATTACTTTTTAAATTTTTTTCAGGTTGTTTGCTGTTGGCATATAAAAATGATTTTTGTATGTTGATTTTGTGTGCTACAACTTTATTGAATTTGTTTATCAGTTCTAATAGTTTTTTGGCGGAGTCTTCAATTTTTCAAATATAAGATTATATCATTTGCAAACAAGGATAATTTGACTATTTCCTTTCCAATTTGATGCTCTTTATAGCTTTCTCTTGTCTGACTGCTCTAGCTAGAACTTCCAGTACTTATGTTGAATAACAGTGGTGACAGTGGACATTCTTGTTGTGTTCTAGATCTTAGATGAAAGGCTTTCAGTTTTTCCCAATTCAGTATAATACTAGTTGTTGATCTGTTGCATATGGCCTTTATTATATTGAGGTGTGTTCCTTCTATCCCCAGTTTTTGGAGGATTTTTACCATGAAGGTATGTGGAATTTTGTGAAATGCTTTTTCAGCATCAGTGGAAATGATCATATGGTTTGTGTCTTTATTCCGTTGATAGGATATATCACATTTATTGATTTGCATATGTTGAATTATCCTTGCATTCCAGGGATAGATCCTGCTTGACCATGATGAATGATCTTTCTAATGTGTTGTTGAATTTGGTCTGCTAGTACTTTGCTGAAGATTTTTGCATAAATATTCATCAGTGATCCTGGCCTGTAGTTTTCTTTTTTTGATATGTCTTTGCCTGGTTTTGGTATAAGGGTAATACTGGCCTTATAGAATGAGTTTGTAAGTGTTCCTTCCTCTTTTATTTTTCTAAATAGTTTGATTCAGATTGGTATTATTTCTTCTTTAAATGTTTGGTAGAAATCAGCAGTGAAGCCATCAGGTCCTGGGAAACCTGGGAAACATTTTATTACAACTTTGATATTGTTTCTTGTTATTGGCCTCTTCAGGTTTTTCATTTCCTCCTCATTAACTCTTGGTAGGTTGTATATGTCTAGGAATTTATACATTTCTTCCAGATTTCCTAATTTATTGACATGTGTTTGCTCACAGTAGCCACTTTTGATCCTTTGAACATCTGCAGTATCAGTTGCAATGTCTCCTTTTTCACTTCCGATTTCATTTATTTGGTTTTTTTTCCTTTTTTTATTAGTCTGGCTAAATGTTTGTCAATTTTGTTTAACTTTTCAAAAAACCAACTTTTTGTTTCATTGATCTTTTATACTGTTTTCTTCATGTCAGTTTCATTTATTTCTGCCCTGATCTTTGTTACATCTTTTCTTCTACTAATTTTGTGTTTGGTTTACTCTTGGTTTCCTAATTCTTTAAGATATATTGTTCGGTTGTTTATATGAAGTTTTTCTTCTCCTTTGATGTAAGCCCTTATCTATAAACTTTCTTCTTAGTACTGTATCCCATAGGTTTTGCTATGTTATGTTTTTATTATCTTTTTTTACAAGATATTTTTCAATTTCCTTCTTAATTTCCTCATTGTGACCCACTGGTGATTCAGGAACATATTGTTTAATTTCCATGTATTTATATAGTATCCAGAATTCCTTGTTATTAATTTGTGGCTTCAGTCCATTGTGGCTAGACATTTGATATCTTTTCAGTTCTTTTTAATGTTTTAAGACTTATTTTGTGACATAACATATGGTCTATTCTTGAAAATGATCTATGTGCTGAGGAAAAGAATGTATATTCTTCAACTGTTACATGAAATGTTCTGTAAATATGTAGTAGATCCATTTGGTCTGTAGTGAGATTAAGTTTGATGTTTCTTTGTTGATTTTCTGACTGGAAGATCTGTCTAATGCTGAGAGTGGGGTATTGAAATCTCCAGCTATTATTCTATTGGGGTTTATCTTTCTCTTTAGCTCTAATATATTTGCTTTATATATCTGGGTTTTCTAGTGTTGGGTGCATAGATATTTAGAATTGTTACATCCTTTTGAGGAACTGACCACTTTATCATTATGTAGTAACCTTCTTTGTCTCATCTTATAGTTTTGTCTTGAAGCCTATTGTGTCTATTAGAACTATAACTACTGCTCTTCTTTGGTTTCTGTTGGCATGGAATATCTTTTTCCATTCCTTTATTTTTAGGCTATGTATGTCTTTTTAAGTGAAGTGTTTCTTTTGTAGGCAACAGATCACTGGGTCTTATTTCTTTATCCATTCAGCCACTTTGTGTCTTTTTTATTGGAGAGTTTAGTTCATTTACATTCAATGTTATTATTGATAATTAAGGACTTACTACTGCCTGTTTATTTGTTTTTGGTTGTTTTGTGGTCTTCTCATCCCTCTTTCCTTCCTTCCTTCATTCCTATCTTCCTTTTAGTTAAGGTGATTTTCTTTGCTGGTATGATTTAATTTCTTGCTTTTTATTTTTTCTATATCCATTGTATATTTTCTGAATTGAGGTTACCATGAGACTTGCAAGTAATGTAACCCTTTATTTTAAGCCATAACAACCTCACACTGTTTGTATAAACAAGCAAAAAGAAAACTGATTTAAAACTCTGCATGTTAACTTCATTCCCCAGGTAGCTAACTTTTTATTGTTTCTATTTATATTTTATTGTACTGCCTGTCTTCAAAAATTGTAGTAGTAGGGCTGGGCGTGGTGGTTCACGCCTGTAATCCTAGCACTTCGGGAGGCTGAGGCAGGTAGATTGCCCGAGTTCAGGAGTTCGAGAACAGCCTGGGCAACATGGTGAAACCCTGTCTCAACTAAAATACAAAAAAATTAGCTGCGCCTGGTGGCACGTGCTTATAGTAGTCCCAGCTACTCAGGAGGCTGAGGCAGGAGAATCACTTGAACCCGGGAGGTGGAAGTTGCAGCAAGCTGAAATCATACCACTGCACTCCATCCTGCACAACAGAGCAAAACTCCATCTCCAAAAAAAAAAAAAAAAAAAGAAATGGAGTAGTTACTATTTTCTGTTGGCTTATCTTTTAATCTTTCTATTTAATATAAGAGTAGTTTACACACTACAGTTACAGTTTTGTAATATTCTATTTTCTTCTGTGAAGTGAGTCTGTACTTTCAGTTTATTTCTTATCACTCATTAATGTCCTTTTCTTTCTGATTGAAGTACTCCCTTTAGCATTTCTTATAGGACAGGTCTAGTGTTGATGAAGGCCTTCAGCTTTTGTTTGTCTGAGAAAGTCTGTATATCTCCCTGATGTTTGAAGGATATTTTCACGGATATACTATTCCAGAATAAAAGGTTTTTTTTTTCTTCAGCAGTTTAAATGTGTCACGTCACTCTCTCCTGGCCCATAAAGTTTCCACTGAACTTACTGAGCTCTAGTATATGTTATTTGTTTTTCTTCTCTTGCTGCTTTTAGGATACTTTCTTTATCTTTAACCTTTGGGAGTTTAACTATAAATGTTTTGAGGTAGTTGTCTTTGGGTTAAGTCTGCTTGGTGTTCTATAACCTTCTTTTACTTGGATTTTGATATCTTTCTCTAAGTTTGTGAAATTCTCTGTTATTTTCTCTTTGGATAAACTTTCTCACCTTATCTCTTTCTCTACTTTTTTTTTTTAAGGCCAATAGCTCTTAGCTTTGCTTTTTTGAGGCGATTCTGTAGATC